GGCCCCAGCAACATCTAGCTGATTGGCTCCTCTGCGGTGATGCTCATTGGGCTGTTTCCCTGCCCTTTCAGACCACAGAGCTGCTCATTGGGGGACTATTTTGGCTCCGCCCACGCGACCCAGCCAATCGGCCTCAAGAGCAGGAGGATTGTGGGAGGTGGAGTGGCTGGTGTTGGTGTGAGAGGCTTGGGGGAAGCTGGTGGTGGCAGTTGGGCTCTGAGGGTTTTTTCCTGAGGAGCTGTTTTGTTTGGCGTGTGTAGTTCTAAAAATAAAGTTAGTTTCTTTTGACAAGTGGCTCCTGAATTGTGCCCAGCCAGACTTCGGCATTTGGTGGCCCGCACAGGGAGCGACTGAGGGTAAGTAAACTGCTCGCCCCTGAGGACTGAGGCACAACACCTCTTCTTGGTAAGGCTCTGGGGAGACAGTGTCATGATATGGTAGTGACACTTCTGTGAGGTCTACCAAGAAGGTGAAGATAGCAATCAGGCTGAGGAAGTAAATCCTGATTGTTATCTTCAGGATGAGCTCTGGGAAACACAAAGGAAAATGGGGAACTGTGAGGTGGATGGATCATTTCTAAAGTGTAATTTGTTTATGATCTCACCTGTGTTTCCTTTTGCAGTACACCAAAAGGTTATCAAAAAGAAAAAACACCCGTTCTTGAATATTTCCAGAGGAAATTTTCAGTAAGACTCCACACATCAACATTTCAGTACAGGTGTCAGTGATGTTAGATCCCTAAATAAGAAAATAAATAAATTAATTAAATTAATAACTTCTGATTACTTGGTCAAGACCTTTGTATGTAAAGATTCTTCTCATTAAAAACTATACTTCAGGCTGGAACTGTAGCTCAGTGGTAGAGTGTTGAGAGCTACAGCCAAAGGGGCCCCAGCAAACTTCCAGCTGCCAGCTGATGACTGGCTCACAGTGGCCCCAGCAAACTTCTAGCTGCCAACTGATTGGCTCCTCTGCGGTGATGCTCATTGGGCTGTTTCCCCGCCCTTTCAGACCACAGAGCTGCTCATTGGGGGACTTTCTTTTGGTTCCACCCATGCGACCCAGCCAATCGGCCTCAAGAGCAGGAGGAGTGGGGGAGGTTGAGAGGCTCCTGGGAAGCCGGTGGTGGCAGTTGGGCTCTGAGGGTTTTTCCTGAAGAGCTGTGTGGTGTGGTGTGTGTGTTCTAAAAATAAAGTTCGTTTCTTTTGACAAGTGGCTCCTGAATTGTGCCTAGCCAGACTGCAGCAGTTGAGCACTTGCCCAGCATATGTGAGACACTGGGTTCAAATACCAGCACTGCTTATAAATAAAGAAAGGTCCATTGACAACTAAATATAAACAACTGAATCTAGCTCTCCTTCACCTTCCAGGTTCCTCGTCAGTCTCAGCATAGATTCTGGATGTGTGTTCAGACAGTTAATGTACGCATGCACAAGACAGACACATCTATAATCATGTCATCTATGCCATTTTGAAAGGAGATAATTTCAAACTAATTCATAAGATTAATGTTCATATTTTTCCTTTCTTCTTTGCTTCTCCAGTATGGATGAAAGGATTTATAGACACATAAAAAAGTGTATGAAACTGTTTAAATTTTTATCAGGCATCAATTTATATATCCACCTCTGGTATGGAAAAGAAGAGAAAAAAAATGATATAAAGGGAACAACCTTCCAAAGAGCCGCTGATTAATTAAAGGAAGACATGGGAATCCTTATTGATTAAATAAGCCTTTACTGAGTGCCCACCAAGATTGCATGATTATCGACAAAACTATAATTTCTTTTTTGGTGCTGGAGATGGGACCCAGTCCTCCTGCATGTGAGGCAAGCACTCTACCACTGACTACACCACTCAGCCCAACAATACTGATTCTTTTTTTTTTTAATGAATTTTTCTTTTAAAGAGAGAGAGAGAGAATTTAATATTTATTTTTTAGTTTTCAGCGGACACAACATCTTTGTTTGCATGTGGTGCTGAGGATGGAACCCGGGCCGCACACATGCCAGGCGAGGACGCTACCGCTTGAGCCACATACCCAGCCCCAATACTGATTTTTAACACAAAGCTAACCATTAGACAATGAGAAGAGCCACAAGATGAAGGAGCCTGGGCCCTGAATCATAAACAGAGGAAAGTTGCCCTTCTAAGCAGAACACCCAGAGTCTGTGGTGTGAGCTGCACATAATTTTCTATGGTGAGCCATTGGAAATGTAGAATGTTTCTATACCTAACCTATCAAATATATGCTAAGCTGGATTAAACACATAAAGGAAGTTTTCAGCAGAGGTTTAGCAGTGTTCTATGCAAGAGAATATCAAGTTTAGATAGGTCTGGTTTCTTTTAATCTGATGTCAATTTCTGATCAATGATTCAATCAACATTTTTATTTTTGATTTTTAAAATTTCACATTTCCACAAAATCACTAATATAGTTTTCTAGTCAACTATAAAAATTAAATTAAAATGACAACTCTTATGTCTACAATAAGACACTTCCAAAAGAACATAAATTAGGACAAAAAGCTATTAGGTTAACTTGGTTATCTATATTACAAATACATTTTAAATTTTAGACATTTTCCTTTTTATTTTTTTCATTTTGACAATAGATATATAAATGAAGATGTAAAAATTTTACACAATTTTATGTATTCTGTCATGAGTTTGTTAAACAAGGATTGTCATGAAATATGAATTGTCATGAAATATGAATATGAATTGAATATGAATATGAATTGTCATGAAATATGAACCTCAAATCCAGTGACTGGTGTCAATGATGTCTTATTATTTATTTGTAAAGAATAGCACCTTTATCTTAGACAAGAAGCTAGAATAGAATTGAAAGAGAAAAGGAAACATCAAATTGATTTTTAAATAAGACTTTGTATAACATTATGGAAAGTAACTTTATTAGTAGCAGTTTTACTACAGGTGCAGAATATCACCCCCTTGGACTGGTGGTGGCCCATATAAGCCAACCAAGAATGGTAAATTGTATTGCAAAATGATTATATTTTTGCAAAATGGTTATACTTTTATCTTGAAGATTAAATAATCATTCCAAATAAGTAACCCAAATTAACATAGGCAGATAATAGCAGATACATTCCTATACAACAGAAATCCTAACCTGTTGTGGATTTACAAATACAAGCAGTGTTTTACATAAATTTGAGCTAACTATAATGGCAGCTTTATGTTACCACGAATTCAAAGTGCTCAGTAGTTACCAAAACCCCCAGCTATTTTTCCTCCACCCCATCCTTGAGTAATTTGGCTTTTTGAACCTCTTTCCTTACATCTACTATATATTCTTCCATCTACTAATATTCATTATCATTGAATAGTCCTTTAAATCGACTGTTATTTACCTTGTTAGTAGTTTTTCTTCATTTTTAAAATCAGTGTTCATTTTTCATCCTAAATATCTATTCTTCAGCAAATACACATTTAGTTATCAAACAACCATGCATAATACATATTTTATCTAGATGAATTCTATTCATGCCAAGCAACGAGCTGAACATTTTATCCTGGTATAAATCTCTACCAAGTTGACCTCACTGTAATGTGGAACCACTGATTAGTTAACAATGTTTACAGTCAGACTCCGTGATCAGTTCATCTCATGAACTAAATGTTGCATGTCAATCAGAAAAACAACTGACCACAGAGAGAAACCACAGTCTTGGAAAAGATAATAGAGGCTTGAAATTTCCACACTCATATATAATGCACAGACCAACCAAGATCTAAAGGAGCCAGGCCCACTCATGGTTCAAGAAAAGAAAACTGACCAGAATGACAACTTGATAGGTGTTCAATATCAATGGTGTCTCTTTTTTTCCCACACATTTTTAATTGGTGCATTATAGTTGTACATATCAATGGGATTTGTTATTAGATATTCATATATGCACACAATATATATAGCAATATAATTTGGCCAATATCACTCCCCAGCACTTCCCCCTCCCTCCCTACCTCCCACCCTTTGATCCCTTTCCTAGACTGATCTCCCTTTGATTTCCAGGAGATCCCCCCCCCCCACCAAAGGTGTCCTTGAGAAAACTAATGAATTGTGTAAATATTCTTACAAAAGAGCAATTTTTAAATGTTATGTAATTAAACATGAAGACTAGCATAACTTTATCATACAATTTTGTCATAAAATGAATATCCCCCCCAAAAAAAACAACACTCAACTTTTATTCATTTCTTGAGGTTCAAACTCAATAAAATTGTAAATGGAATTGTCATATATAAATCATACTGATAATGTTTATATTGATTTTGCCAAGATAAAACTTTCCTCTTCTCCCACTAGAAAGTTTGTTCCCCTGTTTAAGTAGACTCATTCTCAGTGATCTTTTCACAGAACCACTTACCCTCAAATAACAAGGTCATCTATAAATCATTTCCACCTCAAGGTAGTAGATGAATTTGTGCCTGCCAAGTCACACAGGACAGAGTACAAAAGAAAACAGCCTCAACACCAATCTCTGGAAGACTCAGGCTCAAGAAATAACAAAAGAACATGACATGCAGTCAGTATGCTGTATAGCATACTCAATCAAACGGAGCCAGTAAATAGATTCCAGGATGTCTTCGACATGGTCTTGTAGCATTGTATTTCTCCATGAAAAACAGGTAATCAAAAATGCCAGACTTCTATTTCTCTTTACTTTCTAAATCACAATAATTATCTTGAATCTCATTTTCCCCAACACCTACAATACTAATAATCCTTCTCTTTTGTTCAGACATGTTTTTCCCAGATTTGAAAGACCAATTCCAAACAGGGATATGAAGGATTTTAAAGTTCCATTACTAAACAATGTAATGTTGATTGATATTCCCTTGTCAAAATACTTCTGTACAACTCCAAAAGTTATAGTTATGATACAATCAACCAAACAAGAAGAAGGATGAAACAGAATATCACTATTCTACAAAATGAATCAGCTGATAAACTTTCCATCCAAATCACATTATTTCCATACCATTACCTTTGGTAGAGTATCTTGCAATGTTCTGCATGTTATATAAGATATATAATAGATTATGCTAATAAAAGGCATGATTTCAGAAATGAACAATTAAACAATAACTACAGATCTTCTATGCCAGTTACTCCATAAATGCTAATAAAAACCTAATTTCTATCATCAACTTGCTGTAAAAGAAGAAGCAGGAAAACAAAACAAAACCCTTAATCCAAAGAATTGGCTCAATTTTTCTCTCAGTGTGGTTATAATATAACAAAGTAAGAAATATATGGAACTTTAGAATCGGGCTACTATTTTTCAAACTGATATTTGCCCACCTGTGAGTTGTAAGGATGTAAGTTAAATAGTCCTCACTTTTTAAGTCTATATAATTGGGATGATACCCCAGCAAACTGTTGAGGCTCACTGCAAGGGTCTGCATATTGTCCATCCCCAAAAGGTTAATGTGCTAGTAGTGTTGAGGTGGTGGAACCTTTAAGAAGTGGAAATTTGTGGAAGGTAATTAGGTCATGGAGGCATTCATAAGGTCTTATGGAATGGAATTAGTTCCCACAAGTGGGTTATCCTAAGGTAGCCTTGCAATGTAGTTGTACATATAAAGGGGATTTGTTATTACAGATTTCCTCCCCTGAATTCCTCTCCACACACACCACATCATTGGCCTCTTCCTCCTACACTCCCAGCCTTATAATGCCATTCACCATGAACCCCTCGCTAAAGCTAAGCAGAGGCCTGTGACATGCTCCTGAACCTCCAGAACCATCAGCTAAATAAACCTCTTTTCTTTAAAAAGTACCTAGAACCAGGTATTCTGTTAGATTGCATACAGTGCCAGGTGAGTACTTCCCAAGATAGGTGACTGGCATTCTAGGACCTCTGCCCCTCCCTAAGGAAATGGATCCCCCAAATTAGTGGAATCTTAGAATTTCAATTCTGAACGTTGAATGAAGTAATATATGGATGGAAAAAAATACAAGAGCCTATTTATCTTGGCTAGGGTGCTGATGAGACAACCCGAAAGCCACAGCTGCCCTAATGCACCTTTTAGATCTGAGAATAGCTTTTCTATTGATTCTGTGAGTGACCCAATATCTTTTAAATTAGTCTTTCTTTTAATTCCCATTACTTGGAACTATACCACTTGAAGTAATCAACACCTTCAGTGGATGGGCACACTGGACAAATGAAGGGAATTTCTCAAGGGTCAAGTCCCATTGCTGAACCAAAGCTTTAAAATAGTATCATATTTGCAGAGCATTTTACAGTTTTCAAAGTACTTTCACTTACTTCATTTGACCCCTACAATAATTCACACTGGATATAAAAGAGATCTGACATATTACCCCAGAACAAAGGGTTGGAGTCCCAACGAAAATCAAAGTCTGCTCAAAAGCCATGCTTTTCACTCTGTCATATTATTTGGGAATGATTAATTTCAATTGCCATTTCACCTAAATTCATATAAATGACAATTTAGCAGCACTTATTCACAGAAAATGACAATTCCAGATCCAATAATTTATTGCAAAAACAATAAAACCTTCATTTGATTAATGGGAAAATGACACCCTGGGTAATTAAGTAACTTACATGAGAAAATTTCCAACTAAAGTGGAAATAGAGTAAATTTATAGTGTATCAGACTTGGATGCCCTTCAAGAGAATTTCAGTTACTAAAGCAAGAGTGTCATTTTGAATGTGGTCCTGAATGGTCAGCAGCTGTTTCACAGTGTTTGTCCAAGGCTTCTGACCTTGAAAACTCTTCAGGGAAGTCTGGCTTCTGTAACTGTCTTGCCACCTACATCTGAACCTGGCCCTGTCCTAACCCCACAAGAGCCACACCACATATACACAAAGCTGCCTTCAGGCTGATCAGTAATTCCTGTTAGGCATTCAAAAATAGCTCTTGGGAGCTGGGGTTGTGGCTCAGAGGTAAATGCTCGCCTAGCACACTCCAGGCCCTGGGTACGACCCTCAGCACAACATAAAAAATAAATAAAGATGTTGTGTCCAAGTACAACTAAAAAATAAATACTAAAAAGTAGCTCTTGGTAACCCATTCCTGACTTCTCAGGGCCTGAATCCATTCTGTCTGTCTAACTCTGCATTCCTATAGAATCCTACCAGACCAAGAGCTCTCCTCATCTCTCCAGGGTGGTGAACTGGAATGAGTAATCAGGTTCTGACCACAAGTTGCCAACCAGCTACCTAAGTCCCACTCTAAGCTACATCCCCCTAAGAACCCAAACCCCCAACACTCTGTACAGTTGGGGTTGAACACACTCATCAAAATCTACTCAAGGCTGCCAGCCTTCTAGGGATAAGGCATTTACGTTCCCTGTGCCTTCCTGATTTTCCTGAAAACTTCATAGAATTCCCTAAACACCACTAACTTTCTTTGGCTTCAATCTCCACTTTTCTCCTGCATTCAGGATTGTAAAATCACCAAGGTGGTGCGTTAAATAGGTTTTTCATCGCTATAACAAATACCTGGGACAAATCAACTTAGAAGAAGGAATAGTTTATTTTGACCCATGGTTTTAAAAGTCTCAATCCATGGTCACTTAGCCCTGTTGCTTTTGGCCTGTGGCAGCACAATAGGTCACAATGGAAACATGTGACAGGGAGGCTATTCACCCCATGGTGGGCAGGAAGCAAAAGAGAAAGATGATGGGAAGGGGCTAGGTCCTAATATCCCTTTCAAGGGCAAGCCCCCAATGACCTAACTTTTTTTTTAACACCTCCCATTAGTGTCACTGGCTAGGGAACCAAGTCTTGAACACATGGGCCTTTGAGGGGACATTCAAGATCCAAACTCTAGCAGCTGGTAAGGCTGAGGCACCCTCTGTTATGGGCTACATATGACATAGTACAACCCACATATATCTCCCTTTGAATAGCTGGTGAATACTGTGCAAACAATACTGGTGGTGTTTAAGGAATCTCCTTCTGCAGTATATTCAATCTTCAGAATACACACCAGAAGGAAACAAAATTGAGACTGATTTGGTTTCCTTAGAGTACTGGAAGAAGTCTTTGAAATTCTTGTTTTAGGAATAGGCCTGGCAGATTTCACTGACAAATCCTGCAATTTAAAGCAAGTTGGGTTTTTTTCTTCCAATGTTTGAGTGACAACAGAACTGCAAAGCAAACTTGACTCCATTTTTCTCAACCCAGCAGGACAACCACTCCCCAGGAGAGAAATTGTCATCATGAGTCAACTGTAAAACATACAACCATTCTAACTGATTGAAAGAGGTGACATTCATGCCAAAATGGGAGGTCACCCTGGACACTTGAAATGGAAGAAGATAGCCAAAGAGGAAGCTAAGTTAGATCCGAGTTAGCATTTTAAAAGATTCACAGCAGAAGTAGACAAATAGAGGAGAATTCCTGAAGGAGAATGTTTGAAGTTTCTTTGCATCTCTTGGTGGATATAATTTTAGATCTAAGTGAAAACCAACATATTGAAGATAAGAAACAAATTAGTCAACTATAAATTCCTAAAGATWAAAGCAATTTACTTGGATTTATGTGATACAGCATTTGGCTGGGAACATTTTCAATCTTGCTTACACTTTTAAAAAATCATCTTAATTGCTTACTTTGTAACATGAAAAAAAAAATTATAGTAGCCCAAAGCTCATACACATTAAAGTCAAAACCATTTAAATTTTGGCTTATTTTTCTGTATAGCAGAAAAATTTTGTAGGACYCCAACCCCCATGAAATAATTGGGACCCAAAGTTAACGACAGCTGAGAAACATCTTACAGATTCTGGCCCATAGACTTCATTTACATTTCTGTTCTTTTTAAAGCCTTTCCTTAATGACTCATGAAACTATAATGTGTTTTTTTTTTTTTCATTTTGAACAGACCTTAAAAATCAAATCATAGAGAGTTCTTCCATTTTAGAAATGAAGAAATCAAAACTTAGACTGAGTGGACTTAAAATGAAATTCAACATCTAACACCTAGAGTCTGAAAATAATATCACCACATACGTAATGAACTTTACTTCCATTCTTTTTGTTCACTCAAGGATAGGACTATGTATTTGTGGATCAAAGTTAAGACAGGGAAAAGGATAGTTTGTAATGCACAAATTCTGAAATAGCCAAGTTTAGAGCCACACGGTGTCTATTGGCTCCATCATTAACTTCTCAGAACGAGATCGTCATTAACTGCCACCTTAAACATATTGTGAGCATTTTTGAGAATACATTAGGGTCCTTCAGCAATATCTAGGAAAACAAYCACTTATGGTTCCACCAATGCCAATAATTCCACTCACGGCACAGGACCTAAGAGAACTATCTTAATCTCCATAGTGGGCCCAAAATGGATGTACCTCCCAGCCTTCAATGTGAGACTGCCATTCCTCTAAAACTTCTAACTTCTCCATCTGTCTCTTGGCCTCGTTTATGTTGGAACAGACTGCTTTCATGGCTTGGAGGGCTTCCATCACTGCCACGTAGTCACTGTGTTTCCGTGGAGTCCTCTTCAGCAACTCCTGTTTATATCCACCAAAAAAGGAGTTACCCTTTGATCTTCAGTTTTCTGGTACAGCAGGTTCAGACTGACCAGGAAATGAAAATTACAAAGATCATGAGAGCCACTTTAAGTGACATCACAAGCTCCAGTAAGATTAGGATCAAAAACAAACATGGAATCAGTGAGCAAGCAGGATCTCAACGCATATTTTCCAATCACTCCAGTTTTTCCCCTCAAACTTATTTTATTTTTAAAAACAAAGTTACATTTCTTCTTTCAAGTCATCAAATAGCTCACCTGGAACATGTAATTTTTTTTTATTTATATTTGACTTTTATTCTAACAGAAGCACATCTTTATAGGTTCATTACATTTTCCTGGAGCCTTTAACAAAATAAATCTTCAAATAAGTATGTTCCATAATGGCAAGAATAATTCAAATGTCTATTTTCTAACATTTTTTTGAGAAACTAAGCAAAGCAAAATTTATGCATGTCTTACATTCAGGCAAAATATTTTACACATTTTGCAATACTCCATCATTAAGGAGCCATTTACAGGGCTGGGGTTGTAGCTCAATGGTAGAGCACTTGCCTAACATGTGTGAGGTACTGGATTCAATCCTCAGCACTGCATAAAAAATAAATTAAATAAAGGTATTGTGTCCATCTACAACTTAAAAAATTTTTTTAAAAGGAGCAATTCATGTTTCCATCAATTACTTAGATTCCTCCTCTGTGATGAATGAACAAACACATACCCAATATCTTCCTTTGTGTTTTGGAGTCTAAGGGGTTGGGGGGGAATTTTAAATTTATGGTTTTTCCATTCAGGGTATCAAAATTAGAGTAATCTTTAATCTTTAAATATATTAAAAGGTCTTGTTAGCTATTGTTTAGAAACACAAAATTAAACATCTTCACCCACTGTCTAGACAGTTGTGACCACATTACTTTTAATTAGTCATTTGTTTCCTTACTGTAGTTGCCATCATGTAGCTAACACARTTACAGAAACCCTGAGGCAGCCCTTCAAAAGAATTCTCTTAATTCTCAACATGCAGTGGAAAGTGGGCAGTTCTTACACTCTCCTGAGTTGCCCAACTTTGACCCTGCATTTGGTTGGTTCACATTCTGTTCTGGAGAGCTAACACCAGAAAAAAAAAAAAAAAAAAAAAAAAAAAAAAAAAAAACTCTTTGTGCCACTCCCAGGACAAGATTTAAAAGTTAAACTGGATCACAAACCCATAGAGGAGAAATACAGCCTTCACCAGGAATTCTGTGGGGTCCAAGTACTTGTAAGTTATGTGAAGTAGTCAAGCCAACCTGTAGGCCATGTGATGGGTCCCTATGGAATGATACCCCATGGGTTGAATGTAGATGATGTGAAATAACAAGAGAAACCATCAATAATAACCTGGCAGTTATTGGCCACACACCTTGGGTCGACTGGTTGACTCAAACATTTCAAGTTCCACAGATCAATGGTTTATGTTTTGAACACTTGTGTCCCAATACCTTTAATATTAATATTACCTCTGAATAAAAAAAAAAATCACCCAAACTCAAAGAGAATCCCAGCACAATTCTTCAGCTGATGTAACAAACATCAACACCAATACTTCTGCTACAAGAGTAAATAGTTTTTCCATGTTTGTGCAAATAGTATTCAACAAGAGGGAAAAATCATCTTCTTAATATTCCGATCCCTTCTTACTCTTAGAATAAACAAATTTCTGTTGGGTATGGTGACATACACCTGTAATCCCAGCTACTCAGGAGGATCACAATTTCTAAGGAGCTCAGTGAACTTAGTGAGACTGTGTCTCAAAAAATAAAGACCTAAAAAGGGGTGGGGATGAAGCTCAGTGGTAGAGTACTTGTTCTGGGTTTAATCCACAGTAGGAGGAGGGAAGAAGAAAGGAAGGGAGGGAGGGAGGGATTGAGGGGGCAGGAGAAGGAAGGAAGGCTGAATCATAAATCCCCCGAGATTCCACAAAATTTAGGGCAAAGAATAACTGCAGTTATGAATATACATACCAATTGAGTTCCATAGTTAGAGGACTGTAGGTATTCTCAGAAGGAAAGAAAATAATTATTTAAACCAATATTCTCTATTTCCAAAGACTGTGCCAAAGCTTTGCACAACTGGAGACACCTGCATTAGCTTCTCTGTATGAATTTTTTTTATGGCTTAGTCAAGCGACTTTTGACTTTTTCATAAGACACATTCTTCTCAAACAGATAAACTTCATGCAACTGACAAAAGTTGTAGTTAAATTTGTATCTTAAAAAATAAATCAACAAAATACCATTTAATGTCCATACTGTTTCTATTTTTTAAAATGTAGATGTCCACTAGACATTGATGTATTAAAATAAATCAAAATCAAATAGAATAATGGCTAAAATGTATAGAGTGCATGCTATGCTAAATGATTTATATAAAATATTTAAATTAATGATGTTAAATCCTATATGAGATGTCATGTATATTCACTCACAGAGATATACTTCTCATAGTTACATGCTATAATTTCTTTTTCTTCTTTTTCTTTTGTCATAATCACATCACCATCTCTGTTTCATCAATGAAGAATCAAGGCTTGAGGGTTTAGATTACATACTCTAGTCAGAGAGCTAGTAAGCACCATACTTGAGATCTGAACTCAGCTCATGTACTCAACCACTACCTTCCAGCTGCCTATCCTGATGGTATAATTCCAAAAAACACATTTAAAAATTGACACTCTAACCTATTCATTAAACCTTGCAGTAAGTGTAGTAGTTAGGACAGTACAATATATTTGTCATTATAAAAATATTGCTTCCTATAATAAGGCAACAGATTTATAACCATTATTGGGGCACTTCTTGTCTTTAAGAGGTGTGGTATTTTCTTAGCAATCTCATCTCATTTGTACCATTTACTGTCCCATCTGATCCACACTATTTCCTTACAATAATGATTTTAAAACCAGGTTCTGAAATTAATGCAATTCTGACATTAACTTCATTAGCATCATGAAGTCACCAAAGTTTGGGGATATCAAAAACTATACAAACTGTGGTTTCACTTAAAATAGAGTCCTATAGCTAACGGGCTATATGAACTAGACATAATGCACTTAATGGGATCTCTCTTCAAACTAATGCATTTTCTCTAAATGAAACTCAAACAAGTATGTTTTCTACAAAGAGCACTAAAAGCCTTTTTCAGTGGCTTTTCTACTAGAAATATGCTTCTACCTCATATATAAGTTTGTGTCAAAATAGCCATTTTTTTCCAGTAACTATGGCTTGCCTTTTTAAAAAGAATGTCAGACTCTTTAAAAGACAAATCTTTAAAAGATCATCAGCAAAATATGTAGGCACAAAGAAAATGCTACAATGACAAAGCACATAAAATACCTTCAAGAGCAGAGGGTACTTGCATATCCTTTGAATTGGAGTTACCAAGTATCCTTCCAGGGGAACATCTGTATTCTTTCTTCCTCCCAGCAACATGCAGTTCTGAGGTGGAAATGAACATAATTAAGTACATTTTATAAACCTGAGGCTATGAAACTTGTTATGGTAAAATGTTAGGCTGAAAAGTTATAAAAGCCTGTGTCCTTATAGTCCTCTTTCTCTGGGACGAGCACATTGTTCTCGTCACAAATAACACAGAGACAGAGAGAAATACCTTGGTCTTTCAAATAGAATACAGAACCCAAAATATGTTTTCAATGTATAGCTTAAAAATTAGTTTATATATTCTACCGAGAATAAAGTCTCAGGGAAAAGGTAGAGAAGGAGAGGGAAAGAGATGGATGGGTGGACAGATGATAGCTAGACAGAGGGAGGATACAGATTTCGTTTATAAGGAGAGATACACTGCACTGTAAAAGAGCAAGTGTCCAGATAATAGGTTTCTAACTTCTAACCCAGGCTCTGCCAGTGGCTGGTAACACAGCTTGGACTAACCTCAGAATTCCACTTTTCCTCTCTGTAAAATTGCTAGGTTTTAACCAAGTGATCTCTAAGTCAATTTTTGCTGTCCCACACTGAAGACACCTGGCAGCCAACTCAAGAGAAGTCAGTCAGACAGAATCTCCGTTGATTCAAGGTGAATGGAGAAATCCTTAAATCAGTAATCACAGTGAACTGAAATTGAAGGCATGTCCAATGACCATAGAGTAGTGTTCAAGAGAAAACTGATTCCAATAAATAAAGCAACCATTTCCTAAACAATGCAAATAAACAGACTCAAAATTTAAACTTGCCAAAATCTTATGACCATCGTAATTAAATATATATTAGATAATAAATATCTAACAAAGGGAGAAGAGAGCCTCTCAGATGTCAAACTGGTGARTTAGCACCTTTCATGACACTGCTTTAAAACACTGTCCCTTCCATATTCATTGAGAAGGCAACCAACTGCTGAGCAGGAGCCCATGCAAAAGTAAGACCAATGGTGGGGAGAAAAAATAGCCGAAGCCAACCACCAAATCACCACTTTAGACCGGCTATATATATATATATATATATATATATATACTGTAGAATCTTTATGCATGCGTAAACATATGCTGCCTAAACAATCCTCCAGAAATTTCAATGATCATAAATTTCAATGATCATCATACAGAGGTGGTAACATAACCAAGGGGCCAAATCCAGGAACTCTTGGATGTTTGTCAAAGGGTATTGTCACTATTGAATAAGGAAATGAATAAGGAAAATGACACCAGAGATGTAATCTCTATCCTAAGGTCATCCAGATAATTCAGGGTGAATGCGTGCCAGGGCAAGAAGTAGAGAAGCAGGTTCCCTCTACACAGGCCATAGAAGCACCGGAACGCAGCATTTTTATCTAGGAACTTTACACAATTCACACGGCAGACTAGATTAAAAGTAGAAAAGAACGTAGTAGGCAAGAATTCTCACACTTCAGAAAGAGCCCAAAACGTTCAGCAAGGTAAAGGCTTTCCTAGCGATGGCAGAAGAGATGATCAGTATATCCTCTTTCCAAATGACAAACCAAAAAAGACGAGTTTCACAACTCTAGAAATCAACTGTCTGTAGAACAAATGCAGACGTGTTTATTCACGAGGAATTTTTAACCTGAGGTAAGAACGCTGAGAGTCTGCAGCATTCTTGCTTAGACTAATCTTCTCCCCGGAACCCATCCCCACCCGCAGCTCATACTGCATAGAGGTTTTCTCCAGGCGGTACCATCACAGTTGTGATGTCAAGAGGAAGAGATAAGCCTGGGAGGAGAGGGAGAAGGGCCCCTAGGTAACTTCCTGGCAGTAGAGCACAAACAGCACCTGCAGATATTTGCTAAGAAACTTACAAAGAGGCTATTTTTAAACAGGACCTACGTGACTGGGGTCCATGCCTCTGCAAAGAAGGAAAAATGCCTGATTGATATTTTATTGGACTAAAGTCTGCATGAATACCTCAGGGACACCGAATGCCTTATCCAAAATTGGGCAGGGGGCTGACTTCCTTAACCTTACAGATCTATATAAATCCCTGGACCATAGTCACTCTTGGGTATCCTCTCTTGGGACCCCTCCTTCTTTGGTAGCTCTACTTCCTTTCTGTTACTCTAATAAATCCTGTTGCTTTGCTCTCACCCTTGTGTCCATAGATTTTATTCTTCAAATTCATGAGACAAGAATCCAACCCCACACTCCAGGCTACAGTAGCATTAGCCTGGAAAACTTTCTGCCAAATGGGGATACAGGGGGCTGTAGAGGGCAGGAGTGCTGTCAATTAAATTAGAACTCCATAAAGAAAACAGGGAATGCCCCTAGTTTCAGCCTGAGACTGCAGTCTTGTTTGGGGCAAGGATAAGACTGGCAGATTAGCCAAAAATTTACAGGGAAAATATGGAGCGCTATAGATGGCTTAGAGAAACTCTACATTTATCTCTGGATGACTGGGAAAGCTGTATGCACATGCAGAAAACAAAGACCTGAGAAGATCCCTAGAAAGAAAGATCTGAGTCAACTTGCAGACCGACCACCTGGCCTTTGAATGTGTCCATACGCACACTCACACACAGATCCATGGACAAGAGAGAGAATTATGCTCTGACAAATCACTGGCTGACCATTAAACTAAGCAGCCAAACGAGGGATCTCTAAAAAGCAAGGCTGAATTATACGAAAATAAAGTCAGCGGACATATCATCGGCTGAAGACAGATGAGAAGAAAGATTCCTCAAATAAGTCGAGGCAAGTTATTAAAAACAGAGCAAAGAAATGAACAAATAACAATGATCAATCTCATGGAGAAAATATAGAATCCAGAATTGCTATCATAAGTTATTTAAAATGTCTAGTTTTAATTTAAAATTATGATATGCAAAGGAACAGGAAAATGTGACTCATACACAGTCAATAAAAACTCCGAGTATACTCAGATCCTGGATTTAGCAAACAAAGACTTTGAAACAACTATTATAAATATGCCCAAAGAATTTTTTGAACCGAAAGACAATATGTTAACAGTGAATAAACTGATAGGAAATCTCAATAGAGAAACAGAAACTATAAAATCAAAGCAAATACACGTGGGTTAGGCTGAACAGCAGATTTGAGATGATAAAAAGTCAATGGAAATCAAGGAACGTGAGGGACTTTTTAGGGKGATGGACATACTAAAAAACTGGATTTGGGGGGTGGTTGTATCACTCCACAATATGCTAAATATCACTGAACTGTACACTTACAATGTGGTTCTCTGTGGTGTTTAGATTATCCAAGTWACTGCCAAAATATGCATTTATATGTGCTGCCTTAAAAAATTAAATATATTTTTTGCTGGTTCTGTGAAAACTACTGTATGTTGAATGGTCTTTATATTTATTTTCTTCCATATCCTTGATTTGCCTCCTGCCTGCCACTGCCCTACTTAAAGCTCTTAGAGGAAGGGAATAAAACACTAGAGAGCTGAAAATATAAAACAATGATAAACTGTGGCAGAAGTTATTTGCTCACTAGGAATCTGTGGGGTCTCACAAGCAATTTATGATCATCCAGGAGAGGGCATTAGCAGGACTTTCCTACAGAGAACTCTGCTCCAACTCTTACTGCTTACAGTCATCAAAGGACCCACCCTAGCTTTCCAGCCTGGGTATGCAAAAAGCCATCTCACAAAGAGCTTTTTACACCACACTGATGCTTCCTTGATTCTTCCTGGGCCCATCARTAAACATCAGCCTAGGATAACACATAGAAATACACTTACCAAAAGAAACGTCTGCATTGTTCTTACTTTGTTAAGTTTAAGAAGCAATTTTTGTGCCTTCTCATGGTTGCTACAGTATTCATCATAAATATGAAATCTGTCTTTCTGTGAATTCAAGAAAGAATAAATTAGAGTCAGCTTATTTGTCATTTTGAAATTTTGATCTATGTGATGATATACATAAATAAACTTTACTATGTCTCAAGAGCCACGTGTATTTGTTTGTGTATTTCCTTGTTATTTATGTGTTTTCCCTGATCCATAAAAAATAACCTAGAAAAGGAGACAGATATATATTATTATATTCCAATATGATCACTGCGGTAATAAAAAAAAATTGAATCAAGTGGTAGCAAAGTATAGAGAAGTAAGCACTCAGCTTTGCCATGAGAATGGAGTTTTAAAAATTCAATTACTTCTAAGCAAGGTCCTATAGAATGAATCCATGATTCCCAGGAAGGTAGAGGGAAGAAAGGTATTTTTGACCAAGGGGAAAGCATGTGCCATACAAACCTGCAGTTAGTAGACACCAATCTGAAACGTTGTGCTTAACAGAGACATTGACAAACAGGGAAATATCCAGCAACAAGTGACTAAGATAATGATAGACTCTGAAACATGAGATCTGCGAGGTCATTTCAGAAAGAGATATCTGTTGGTTTAGAAAAGTCAGGRAATAATAACTACTTTCAAATAGCTGTCATACTGTAAAAGAGTAACAATTCTAGGTAGCTCTTGCAAAGAACATTAGGTTCATTAGGTAGAAATTGCAAGGGCAGTGATGGACAGATGTGGGAACAATGCAGAAATCTAGTAATTAGAGCTGTCACTAAAAATGAGGAAGTAGGAACACAAGGAAGTGGTGAAGGCGCTCCTGCCCGGTCTTCATAAATGGATAGTGGAGTTTTTCCTTAAAAGAAAAAAAAAGTAATTTTACTCGTAATCCCTAAGCCCCACTCTGTCTATAAGATTTTTTTTTCCCTCAAAATAGCTAGGAGGTATCAAGGAACAACAAAAGAGGAAGATACAAAAAATAATTGATCAAATAGTAGTACAGAAGTGTGTCCTTTGAAATTTCAAAGGCAGGCATTCAGAAACATTAAGCCCTATTTTATATAGCCAGCACAGAATGTACTGAACTACTTATCTCAAGAAATGGTATGAGCCAGAAAAAAAAAAAAAACTTCAGAAATAACTTAGCTAAATTYAGGGATGACAGATTCATAATGTGCTACTAAGGAAGTGACTGTCAGGACACAAGATTCCCATGTGCACCCCTGGCTTGAGATAGCAACTGCTTCAGCTGGCAGAAGATTCTGATCCCTTCATGAAAGGAAACAGAATACAAACACCCATAGCCTCCAGTTGTGCCCAAGAAAAGCATGGCTTGATCTTCCTGCTCCCAAGAGCCTCTCCTCTTTAAGATAATCACCTTCTTGAAATATTTTAACTAAACAGAGCCTATTCATCACATATAGATATAAAAATCACATAGAAAAACCTTCATGAAAGACTAAATGGAAAATCAAAAATATACAAGGTTGGATTTCTATAATGCTGTCACCCRTTTTTTAAGTAAAATATGAATTCTGTAGCATTTTGATAAATACACGGACTCAAATTGAAAATGAGCATCTATGAAATGGCATAAACAGCAGCATGCTTGCATGCTTTTTTTTTTTTTTCTTTTTAAAGTATGAATGTTCTTTAGCCTGGAAACCATTCTCCCTGTACAGGTGGCTTCTAATTTTACACACTGATTGCATAAATGATTTCAGCTATCAAATATAAAGACACGGAAAGGATCACACAGGCACGGGGTGTGTAACCTGAGAAAAACTGAGTACCAACTGCTTCTTCCTTCCATGCTGCTCATTCAGAACAACCTTCTGAGAAGCCACCCTTGAGGAGAATTCAGTGACAGGCATACTGGGTTAGTTCACCTCCAGCTTTGTCACAAGCTAATTAACAAGGGAACATTCTGACTAACAAAAGGCTTGAAGTGCATTATAAGAGTGAGGATTTTCCGCCTCAAAAGAAAAATGCTCTATGTTTGAGAGAAACATAAAAAWCCATTCATTATGAACAGCCTGAATATTCATTAGAATTCAAAGCTACAGAGGATGCGAAGAACTAACTTGTCAGGAAAAATAAAAGGCTGTTCATTCTTTGCTAAGTAAAATGGATGATGCAGGGCACTCTCCCCATTTCTGGCTTGAAGTGCAAGATTTCACTGGCCTTAAAAGACCCTAAACTTTTAGCATCCCATTTTATTTCTAAGGCTGAATTCACACATAGTACTAWGCCAAGAGCTAAACCTTAAACTCAAGAAAGGCAGAGCTTGTMAAAGAAATAAAAATGTATCCTACAAAGTGAAGAAAGCAGGTCCCCACTTCCTGTTGAGCATTGGGTTCTGGGTGTAGGCATTCTCCCATGACTTTTAAGAATTCTTTATGTACTGCAAGGATATCTTCAATGTTTGAGAACAACATCTGTATAAAAGAAAAAAAATGGGTAAGTGCAACAGCAAAGCAAGTTGAAAAGAAAAAGGAGAAAGTCACCTTTGCATTCTCTTTGCCTCTCCCAACCTGGCAGTCTCCGCAAAAAAAGTATAAGGGGAAGACTATCACCYCAATGGGCTATGAGGGTACAATAGTCTCTCTCCAAGTGAAACCTTCAGTGGATAGCTACCCACATCCATTGCTTTCTCTCACCTTGCTGGCAGAACCCCGACTTTGTCTGAACTTCCCCTGTATTCCCACACACTCTGGGAACCAGGACCCTATTCTTGACTCTCAGGGCAAAGCCTGAGTCTCCAAACACAAGCATGACAGTCCCACCATTTCCGGGATGGGCTTCAGGTAAAAGTTTAGGAAGGTTTGTTGGCAAGCTTTTGGGGTACATGTGTCTTTGCTCCTAAGAAGAGTATCCTGAATGGACAGTCTCCTTCTCCTTCTAGAAGGTGCTGTGTGGGGGAAATTGACAAATAGGACAGCTACAGGGTCACTTCACAACCATAGGAGAAGCCAGCTCAGGAGCAATGCTGATAACCTGGATGGCAGAGGAACTCGCTAGAGAAGATCTAGTAACTGCTTGGCCTCCCTGAATCACTAAATGGAATTTTTCTTTTATTCGGATACCTCACTCTGTGAGTGAAAGTGTCTTCTAGTCCACCTGAATTATAGGTTACTTTTCTTGCAACCAAAAATTCACTAACTAAAATACTGCCACGGCAAGAAATTTTGAAATGAAATTTATCAAATTATGTTATGTGCATGTATAAATATGTAACAATGGCACCATTGTGTGTATAATTGTAATGCATAAATTAAAAATAAAGGGGTTTAAATTATGAGGAAATGGGGTCAGAAAAAACTAAAATATCCTCTGAAATTTTTTTCAGCAAAATAAAACAGTAAGTTAGCATCAATAGCAACAATGATTTATACAATTTAAATAATCACTATACCATAATTAGTTTTCATCTGCCATCCTTTTTCTTTTTTTCACAATTTTTCCTTCACTAGTGTGAGTGTGTTTGTGTGTGTGTGTGTGTGTGTGTGTGTGTGTGTATGTGTGGTGTTTTTTTTGTGTATGTATTTTGCTGAGAATGAAACCCAGGGCCTATACCATTGAGCTCCATCCCCAACACCCTTTTCCTACATTTTAAAAGAAAATATTTATACGTTTATGTCTGACTTAAAGATATCATGTGGACTTTCTCGGATGCACCACAGTAAAATATCTAGGTCTGAATTCTTTAGCTATCACAGAGACAGGAAGTCACATTTGTCCACGCCTGCCTTCTTGAACAACCTCTAGCAATCGTCTGACAACTCCCTTGACTTCCTCCCTCTCCTAGACACTGAAGTTCTTAGTCGTATTTCCTAGAATTTTTTTCCTTCCTCTTTGCAAATATCTCCAAGACCTTGATTTGAAAAAAATAAAAATAAAAGTTCTCTATGCCCTATGTGCCATATTCTTGACCTCCCTTTATCCAAACCCTCATTACACCTTTTCACACCATTACCAATGCAAATGACTGGCACAGGAACTTAGAATAGAACCACAGTCACACTGAGGGTCCTGAAGGAGCATCCCACGGGGACCACTTTATCTATGGGGAACTCATGCCCTCTGCACCCCCTCACCTTTACTGTTTCTTCTGTTACATTCTTGTCGACCTTTGCTGCAGCACACTGGTTCATTCTATGTAAGAATGCCTGCATGAAACAAGAAAAGACGTTATGAAGGGAACAGTGTAGGTTCATAAAATGACTGGGTGTTGATCAAAATCCAATTCATTTTTTACAAAAAAAACCAAAGCTCAAAAATCCAATAGTTGAGTCAAATGCTGGCCATTAAGCTTTGACAGGTGCCTAAAACAGTTTTGTTACCACATGTCAACTCCCTGTGCTTTGCTCTCTACCTGAGAATCAAACTCCTTTTATGATGTGGAACAGAGCCAAAAATGATCAAATCTATAGGAATTAAATTTATCCACCAGGAATAAAAACTTACTTAAGTTCTGGAGTAAATATTTAGGGCCAGGTGTTTTCTAAATATATAAGCATTGCAAAGAACAAAGAGACCAAAATCTAATGAAAATATGGTATTTCTGATTAAAAAAAAAAAAAAAGATCCAGGAATTCTGAGGTGACTCCCTTAGAACTGAGAGAGTCAGAAATAGATACATACATACACACACATCCTTGCCAATAACTATTTTCAGGTTCTAAACGGAATGAAAGAATTTCCTTTCCTCACTTCCACCCCATACGAACACACTTGCAGGAAGCCAGAATTTAAATTTCTGGGTTCAGKTCAGAGCTCTTCATTTCCCTGTGGTTGATAAATGAGCACAATTGTATTTTAAAGATCCAGGCTCAAGCTCAGGATGTATCTCAGAGGTAGACAGCTTGACTAGCATGCTCAAGGCCCTGGCTCCCATCCCCAGACTGTGGCAGGGAGGGAATAGAGACTTCTCAGTGGCCATTAAACTTTGATACCTAAGAAGAGCATAATGATGGATTGATATTGAGCTTTAAAAAAACAAAGTTTTAAAAGACAAGGAAAAGGAGACATTCCATTTAGCAAATCTGGTTTATACCCTCAAAACATCATCTATTAACTATACAGTGACCAGGTAAGATCATCCAGAGCCTGGGAATGTTGCTTAGTGGTAAAGCATAAGCAAGAGTCCCTGGGTCCAATCCCAGAACCACCACCAAAAAAAAAAAAAAAAAAAAAAAATTTCATTCCTTCCCTTGTCTAAGAAGTTTGCCACCACCCGCAAGTCAGGACAGGACAGGACTGTACAGGACATCAACTACTCAGGGCGATACAGAAGCACAGGAGAACCTCAGGCTATCACATCAAACAAACAAAAACTAAGGCAAGAATCATATCTTTGGTAGGTTATATTTACTAAGATTTARGAGATTAATAAAAACTTACAAAGACTTAAGAGATTAACACAGCCCACAATTGTTCATAATGTTCCAAAATTATCATTGCTACATATTTCTAAGGACAATTTGAATATATCTTAAAGGGATTTGCTTTGTTTTGTTTTGTTTTGTTTTTCTTTTTCTTTCTTTTTTAGGTTGTAGGCATTGAACCCAGGGCTTTGTGCATGCTGAGCAAGCACTTTACTAATGAGGCACATCCCCAGCCCTTTCTCAAATTTTTAAAAGGGCATTTTTTTAAATCTAGAAGTCCTACTTCTATAAATTTATCCTAAAAATAACAATGGGTTTCAGACCCTGGCATGGTGGCACACATCTACAATCCAGGAGTTCATGACACTAAGACAGGAGGATCACCAGTTCAAAGCCAGCTTCAGCAATGGTAAGGAGCTATGCAACTCAGTGAGACCCTGTGTCTAAATAAAATACAAAATAGGGCTGGGGATGTGGTTCAGTGGTTGAGTGACCCTGAGTTCAATCCCTACTACCAAAAAACAAAATCAGGGTGTGGAATGAGGGGTCAGAACATTGATTAGAAAAGGAGAAATACTGGAAACTATTGAAAGGTCTATCAATAAGGGAATCACTAAATACACTACAGTATATACAAATGATACTTTTGTGGTTATGACAAAAGTACAACCATAAATGGAATGTGAAGGAGCTGGGGATGTAGCTCAGTTGGTAGAGTGCTTGCCTTGCATGCACAAGGCCTTGGGTTCAATCCCAGCACCATTAAAAAAAAAATGGAATGTGAAGAAAACTACACGTACACACATACGCAAATTTGTATATAGGACAGATATTCTTAAAATATTGTCTGGTGAAACCCATGTATTAAATAGCACACCTAATATATATGTATATCTACACACATGTATAATGTGTCTATTCATACTGAAAAAAATAGGTAGCATATATACCGAAATGAAAACAGTAGTTACCTACATGTGGTAGGAAGGAGGCCGTGCACCTTATTTTCAAAATACTCAGCATAACTTGTGTTTTGTTAAAAAAAAAAAAAACATTGAAAAGAAATCAAACAAATGAGCCCTCAAGAACTCAATTCTAGCATAAGCATCAACACGATCCTTATTTCTGATTCCACCAATTCATCTTTCAGATTCCATAACTATAAAGACATATCAAAACTAGTAGCCCCAGCCTATAATCCCAACAACTTGGGAGATTGACACAGGAGGATTGTAAGTTCAAATCGTCTCAGCAACTTAGCCAGACCTTATCTCAAAATCAAAAAATTTTAAAAAGGCTGGAGATGTAGCTCAGGGGGAAAGTACCCCTAGGCTCAATTCCCAGTACCTAACAAAAATAAGATGCAAAAAAAAACCACTATTAGCCCCAACTCTTTAACATCAGCTGAATTAAATAAAATGAATAAGTATTAGCTGTAACCTTCATTTTTATTGAAAATATGTGATACAATTGTTGAACTATTATCTGAAGTTTTACATAAATGACCATGGAAAATGATTTTTGAGTACCATTTTAATTAGTTTTATTCTGTTTAATTTTTAATTTTAGTTTTGCTTTTCTTGAGTATTTTCCAAGTGCTCATACCAGATATTCTCTTTAGATCTTTTTATTTAGTCTTAAAATAACATGGATGGTTTATTTGCCTAGTTTACATTTTACATTGACCACACAGTAAACAGGTAACCTCTCGTGCAAGTAGAATTTAAACTTCACCTCTGCAATTATAAACCTCTTCTTCATAAATAGAACTCAGTCACATTCTGAAACCAAAAATTTTAAAGCTACAAAGTTGAGTCAAAATGTAAGTTAAAAGGGAACATACAAACTAATAAGGTACACCACATCTTTATCTGACAATTTTTTAATCTTCTTATCCTCTAGGACAGTATGAAATATTTTGTTAAATTGTATATATAAGGAAACCTGGAACATGCCAGCATCTCTGACCAAGCATTTATTTTTCCTAAGGACTTCATTTTATACAACATTGAAGGCAGATTTAGATGGTTTACTGGGAATGCACAATCATGAAAACTGTTGACATTTTTTAGAAAATGTTTAAGTCTTTCTTCCTGAAAACAAAAAATAAATACATGTTTTCAGAACCACCCTTTAACAACCAGTATCCACAGAGTTATTTCAGTCTCTGGCAACTGGGCATTTAATCTTCATATCAATCAAGGAAGCACTAGTAACCTAGTCAAATATATATATATAGGGTTTTATACACTGTTTTCTGTCTGCATTCATTTATTATCGCTTGTCCACAATTTCATCAGAATTAGACAATCTTCATCTTGACACAAGTACATTGGAAAATAAGCATTAGAAAACAGCTGTTAATGCCAGTGATTCTCAAACTCTATATTGTATTTAAGACTTAGAGAGTTTCTCTTAAATGCAGATTCCTAACCCTAGTCCTGGAAGTCCTGATTCAGCAGACGAGTTTACAACTCAGGAATCTGCACTATGAGCAGGACTCCTCAGTGACTTGCATATTGGTCAAGGGACCAACTTTTGATGGACAATCTCTGATGTTTATTCTTCCAGATTGAAAAAAAAAAAGGCTTAGAGGAGCACATAAGTGACTTTTAATGGGAAAAACAGGTCCATTTATTTCATTCTGACTCCGAAATCAAATAATTATAACCATTACTTGATAACCATCACCTTCATATTCAACCTTGTGGGGTTTTTGGTGCCCCGACCAAGGACTGCCTTCCCACCCGACCCCATGAAAATTACAACTTGGGCTACACACTGGTCATCATCATCTCTGAAGGCTTGAGAAACACAGAGATAGGTGGTTGAAATATGATAGGATGTGACATTTGGAGGAAGTGAGGCTGGCAGGTGCCACTCCAAGGACTTTTCAACCACAGATGTCACACCAATACACTCAGTACTCCAGCATTCCCCTAACAGTGGCACCATCCAACATCTTCCTGGGTACCATTCCAGTCATGAGCCACCTTTTTCCCACTCAGAGAACAGAAATTGTTTTCCTTTTATCATGTATTTGGTAAAAGCACATGTTAAATGCAATATGTTAACCAAAATTTCATAACCCTAAAAATGTCACCAATTTGCTACCAAGAGGTCAAAAAGAGGGGAAAACTCAGGAAGAAAGAAAGGAAGATGACAGCAATCTCTTTTCTCCTTGTTTGTACATCTGCACTGCTGCTAGTTCAATAGTAAGGCCATGCCTAGCAAGAATTTCATTATCCGAATACACCTTTCTTCTCATTTCAATGTTCTAAATAGTCTCCCTCAATTTTGTTCTTCCCCATTCTGAATAAGTCAGGCACTGTTAGACAGTTTTTCATTGCTATGACCAAAATACTTGACATTAAAATCTTAAAGAAGCAAAAGTTTATTTCAGCTCCTGGTCTGCAGGGTTTCCATCTATTGCTCTGGGTGTGAGGTGAGGCAGATCATCATGGAGGAAGGTCATGGTGGAAGAGAGTTGCTCAGCTCACAACGGTCAGCAAGCAGAGAGAGGGGGCGGAAAAGAAAGAGTGGGGGGAAGGGACCAGGGACAAGACATAGTCCCCAAGGGCCCAAACCCAGTGATCTACTTCCCCCAACCACTATAGTTTCCACTAACTCCCAATAGTCCATTCAGTTATCAATGAATTAATCCATAGATTAGGTCAGAGGCCTTGTGATCCAATCATTTCCCAAAACCCCACCTCTGAACACTGCTGCACTGAGGACCTAGCCTTCAACACACAAGTTGTGGGGAGACACTTCATACCCAA